ATAGCATCATGTGTCTTTTCAGTGACTCCTCAGATTTGATTTGCATAATTCCATTCGTCTTTCCGGTGACTCCTCAAATCTGATTTGCGTAGAGTTGTGCCATCATTCCAACCCTACCCATATAATTTTTCTTTTTCAGTAGGGTCGTGCCATCATTCCGACCCGACCCATATTATTTCTCTTTTTCAATGGGGTCGTTCCATCAATTCGAACTATCCTATATAATTTCTATTTTCTAGTTGGGTCGTGACATCATTCCGACCCTACCCATATAACTTTATCTCTTAGATTGTGACCACTTTTAGCCATCAAATCTAATACTCCGACATATGAGCATGTTTCGGCCAGTTTTTCGGTGACTTGCTTAATATCGACTCATCTATTGATTCCAACATGATCCATATACTTTATACTAGATTTTGAACACTTACAATAACCGTTGCATTGTGAAGAAGTCTATATGGAGCAACAACCTAATTTTGTTGCTCAGGGGGAGTTTAGTAGCCTTGTATGTTGCTCACGTAAGTCACTCTATGGTCTGAAACAGTTTTTGCAAGCTTGGTTTGGGAAGTTCCAACACTGTAATTTTATCACTTTGTGTTTTATCGGCATTATGCATCAAATTCAGTATTTCATGAGAAGACCAAACACATTGAGATTGATTGTCAATTTTGTGAAGTCGAGTGATCAACTTGCAGATATCTCACTAAGCGTCCTCATGTTAATTACATTTGTAACAAGCTAGGTACATGAATTGTATGCACTAGCTTGAGGGGTTGTGGGGGAGTGTTAGAATATGAATAGGTTTATACAATCCTATTAAAATAGGAATAGGTTTATACAATCCTATTAAAATAGGAATAGGTTTATACAATCCTATTAGGATAGGAATAGGTTTATACAATCCTATTAGAATAGGAATAGGAATAGGAATAGGAATAGAAATAGGAATACTAAATAGTATCCTACTTGGTAAAGGATTGTATTCTAGGGTCTATAAATAGGGTCCCAATGTAATAATGTAGACACAACAACTATTCAATAATATTATTTTCCTATATTTCTCACATGGTATCAGAGCCTCTAGATCTTGGTAGAAAATCAAAGACTTGATAGGCTAGTCTACAATTCTAACTGGTTTGACGAGTACAACAGCACCACTGTCACACACTAATCCAGATCTTGTTCGGACCATGCCCCTCTTCCAATGAAAATCCTCCATGAAGACATCCAAGGCATTAAATATTTCAAATTCCTTAACTTTTGGACAGATCACCCCGACTTTCATCATACTGTCCAAAACAGTTGGGATGAACAAGTATATGGAACCCTCTTTACATCCTCCACCGAAAAATCAAGAACACCACTAAAGCTCTCAGTATCTGGTCTAAGCAAACCTCTGGTGATATTTATGAGGATCCTAAGAGATTGGAATCATTGATTAGGGATATGGAAGACAACTGCATTGCTAATAACACTCCTGAGAATAGATGTGAACTATCTAAATGTAAAGCTGAGTTCATTAGATACCTAAAAATTCAAGATTATATGCTCAGAAAAAAAAGCAAGAGTCAGATGGATGAATGAGGGTGATGCGAACACAGTTTACTTCCATGCCACCATCAAATATAACAGAAGGAAATTGAATATCAGAAGAATCCAGGATGATCATGGCAACTGGTTAGAAGGAGACCACTAATATTGCTGAAGGAGCAGCCAACTATTATAAGAACCTTTTTGCTCAAGTTTCTGATACTACTGATTTCAGTGCCCTGAACTGTATTGAAAGTTGTATCACTGAGGAAGAAAATAACAAGTTGAGTGTTGTTCCTACCGTGCAGGAAGTGACTGAAAGCATGCTATTTATCCTGACAGTTCACCTGGGCCTGATGGTCTTAGTGGAATGTTCTACCATAAATGTTGGGATATCAATTCTACTGAGGTCCACAATGCTGTCAAGGCTTTCTTCCGGGGATCCGCTCTTACCAAGTTCTATACTTAGGGCCTGTTTGGATTGGCTTTTGACTTATGACTTATAAGCCAAAAGCCATAAGTTAGGATTTCTAACTTATGGCTTTTGGCTTATTTTTGTTATTTTGGCTTTAAAATAAGTGTTTATAAGCACTTTTTAACTTTATCCAAACACTTCAAAACTGCGTAAAAGCTATTTTGGCTTAAAAGCACCTAAAATAAGTCAATCCAAACGGGCACTTACACTTGTATTATTATGATCCCTAAAATAGATCACCCTCAAAAAAATTCTGATCTCAGACTCATTAGCCTGTGCAATGTATCATCCAAGATTATTTCTAAAATCCTTAACTCTAGACTGGCCAACTTACTGCCAAATATCATCTCCAAAAACCCAAACTGGTTTCATAAAGGGAAGAGCTATCTCTGAAAACATGTCAGTGAAAATTACTTTTGAACATATAATTCTTTGAAAACTTTTGTATTTAAGAGAACATATAATTCTTTTAGCCAATCATCACCTTATCACTACTTGCTAAATCATTTCAGTGAAAATTACGTTTGAACTAAAACATAATTGTTAACACATATAAGAATGCACCAGCCTTCACTAGAATCCAACAACCCAACAGCATATAACACGATCAAATCGCTTGATGTACTAAAAGGCCCCTTAATTGACAAGTGATATCAGGATGCCATTCATTTGATAAAATGTCTCCAAGGCATCAATTCTACTATCTACCTTTAAATTTTTCTTGCAATGGAAAAAATCATCAGATAAATTAAGACAATTTAACAAACCCCCACCATTTTCACCGGGAGAGAAAGAGAGAGTTAATTTGGAAGTAATTCTCGATTACTTTTTTTTTAATAAGAAGTTATTCTCAGCCATAAGTTTATGCTGCTATACCTAACTTATTGGCATGTATGGCTTAATAGTTAATACAAAAAGCAAAAAGCAGCCAGCTTCTAGATTCCAGCCAAGCAGCTACTATTATTATGCACCAAATCCAGCTGAGGAAAAACCATGATGTATCACCATGCATATTTGAACACAAGTTATGCTTATACAACTTGACTATACTACTTACGCCGCTTACTTGAGAATGAACAGTAATTTGGAAAACACGTGCAACATCAGTGATATCCTGTGCAGTTGTAGCAAATTTCACAATGTCAGCTCCAGATGCCTGTATTCTTGCTACTAGATTGCCAAGATCCTCAGCTGATGGTGTGCTTTCATAGTTGTGAGAAGAAACAATAAGTTTGCATTTTGCAGATTTATTTCCATGCAGGGCATTGTTGAACTCGTCAATAGCCTAAAGGAGGAGGAGAAAAAAGAAACAAACAGCATAAGAAAAGCAATGATTATTGTTAATTGATGAAGCATCCGTCAAAGCAAAAAGGAAGAACAAATGAAGACTCAAAGTATGAGAAACGTTGATGTTAAAGTTAGCAAAGCTTTATATATCAAATATTCCAACAGGAAGGATTTCTTAGTTGGCAAAATGGGTCTGTGACTGAATATTCCTTCATGCAAGTAGCAGCTCAGGCCATACATCTCAAAAGTAATGCTCAAAGTCACAATACAAAACTACTCAAGTTTTTGGAGATCTGAACGTCAAGCAACTAGATTGATTGGCCTTGTATTCTCCTTTTTATGCATTTACTTGATCAATTCCATTGAGGACACTTAGCAGCAGTCACTCAGGAAAAGCTCATCATTCTTTTCTTTTCTTTTTTAACGGATAAGGTGGGAAGGGCCATTTTAGTGTGAAATTTACCTTTAGCTCAACATCAATGTAATCAGCTCCCAACTCCATCGCTAATCGAAGTGCATCCAATCGACTCATTTCATCACCAGCATACTGACCACCTTCCCAAGTGGGCCTAGCAAAGTAGGTAAAGTTCGGAAATTTTATAATGCACTTTCCAATGTCGAGAAGTAAGAGAGGAACTACAAAATCAGAAAGTAGAGCTATATTTACATGTGTATTGTAAGAGAACTAATATTTGTTTATCACAAGTTAACAGACACTGCAATAAATTCTATCACAAGGTTGATCTCAGATGTCTTGCATGAAGATATAGAAGTGTCCTTGTTTTATAATGTCAAAAATTTACAATAGACATAACACCGAAATTCAGCACATACTTATCCTGCCTGTATTGCTAAAGTGTGGTTCACAAAATTCCCATATGAAAACATGCATCACAAAAATGAAGCACAGGTTCCTGACAAACAAGAATATCAATATAAATAAAGAAGATGGCTTGTTAAGGTTATAACAAGCCAGATGAAAATATCAATATCTTTTCGAGTTCATGTAATTGGTTTCCTCAAAAAGCCAGTGCTGAGAAAGTTAACCAGTCAAAATTTATATACAAAACGATCAGAACATAATTATATACAAAAGAACCTAGTGCCATTGAAAAATGCAATGCCTTTCTGAGTTCCGGGACAAATTAGATAAAGTAGCAAGTAACCATACCCTATGCCTTTATGCAAGCTATGTTGTAGAGCTCCTTATATGTGTATCGACAGGATATGTCAGATAGTATCGTATTAATATTATCCCCTTCCCCACGCCCAAAACATAGCTGCAGGTCGACGAACATGCATTGTATCAGTAGAAAGTGAAAAGGGACCAACCAGGGAAAAAGTAATTGCCCTTAGGAAGGTCTAAGCTATGTTGCAGTGCTCCTTATCTTTGCATCGACATGATATGTCCCACTTATGAGATTACACGAAGTATGTTGTTGTTGTACCAAGGCTTATTCTCCTATTTTTTGGATTTCGAAGCAAAACAAGGAAAAAAGGATAAATCTTAATCATCATCCTTAATCTTGTTGGGTTTTAAAAGGTGTGAATAAGAAATGAAGTTTTTTCCCGAAAAGACACCAAGAGAAAGGATGCAATTTGAATGGTACCCTTTCACATTGAATGGATTGTGACTTTTTGGATAAGGCACAGTAGCAACTGTTCATACTACCTTTGTTGACTATAAATAGTGGCTTTTGGAGGCGATGTTTCGAAAGAAGAAAATGTAGAATCCATGATGAAAACTGTAAGCTCTCTCTTTTGTTAGTAATATTAATTAAGAATGGATCTTATCACAGTTGTTGCCAGCTGAACTGCACCTCACAAGTCACAAGTATCACACCTGCAGGTGGTTGATCGATGGGGAACAGTTGATATCTTGATCAATAATACAGGTTCGTTACCACCTTTTTTTTTTTGTGGGAACAAGTCAAAAAGATCATTTAATCAATTTTGCACCAAGATAATACCATCAAGTTAACATTTGTGACGTGGCATTAAGCATCCGAAAAAAATCTTTGCAACTTTCTAGTTAGAGAGGAACATGTTTTTACCCCAAATATACAAGTGAAACAATATTTTTTAATGCAGCCAGCAACAGCCATCCTAGTTTGCATAAAGTTTTATTAGAATTCCCAATCAGTAGTTCTCTTATTCTTCTTTTCAGGTATCACGCGTGATACCTTGTTGATGAGAATGAATAAGTCTCAGTGGCAGGAGGTTATTGATTTCTCTCAATTTTCTGCATCGAATTTTCTGAACTTCTTCTACATATTTTCTTACAAACATAACTGTAGTCTTTGTGTAATTTGCTACTGACTTTGAGTTCGACGAAGTTATTGGCGCTTGAGGAACCGCTACACCAATAATAGTTATATCCATTTTATCTTGAGAGAAAATAATTCATAACCTCGGGAACAATGAGGAGATTAAATTACTTGAAGACACAAATTATGTGGTCTCGGATATTTTTTATATAAAGTTTTTAATTTCTGTTTTCCAATTCTTCTAGCTATAACAAAAAAAATCACAAAAAGGACAAACTTTAACAACTCAATTCAGATATGGCAGTTTCACAAGACACAAACATGGAAGCAGGAATTAGGAATTGAAACCTGTAAGTGAAGAGAGTAGGCAAAGGGCACTGTTTGATCAGGGTATCAATATCTGGGCGAGGATTAAAGCTTTTCAAGCTATCCACTCGAACCTCCACAAGATCAGCCCCACTAGTTTTAGCCTTTTGCATAAGAATCAACATTTGATCCACTGAATCAGCCATAATTGGTGCACAAATTAGAGTTTGATTCTTCCTCATTGCTTCACCCTCCATCTTCTTCACTCCAGAATCTACAACCTAACCACCCACAGCCACAACAACAAAAAAAAACAAAAAATCTCAAACACCCACAATTCAAGAATCAAAACCCACAAAAAAAAAAAAAGAATTTAAACAACAAAAAAAAGTGTTCTTTTTTAGTTTTATAAGAGTAAAAGAGGCAATGTGGGTTGGTGGAAGTCTTAACAAAGTTTGGTGAGTGGAGAAGAGAAAACCAACTCAATTTCAAATTGTTAATCATTTTATTTTTCCATTATTTGAAAAAAGTTATTAAATGACTCACCAACTCCATTGGCAACCAACTTTAGAGCACACAGATGGGTAAACAGCAGAACTGTAGGCTCAGCAGCCAGCTTGAAAAAGTCCAAGTGACAAAGATAAGATATATACAAGTATTTATATTTTTATTATTTATTTATATATAAGAAGAAGAAAAAAAAGATAGATCATATGTGTGGTTTTTATTTAGATTTATATTTATATGATAGAAAATTCAGAAGTAGGATGGGGAAACTGTGTAGGGGGTTGGTGAGGGATGAATTATATTTTATTTTATTTTATTTTTATGCTTTTTTCCATTTGTTTTACATGATCATAAATATTCTCCTTAAAATATTGTAGAAAATTGAATAATAATTAGTACTATTTAAATGTTTTTAATAATTACAAATTTACGTTGCCATTGAGTATGGTTCTAATTTCATGGAATATTCGTCTTGGTCTTTATATTTTATTGTATACCAGTGAATTCATCCGCATTTTGCGCGGTCATTAATAACACAAATAATTTATTAAATATTATTTGAATAGAAGAGATATTATACATATAAAAAATGTATTTTTATGTATATTTAATAATTTTAGTTGAAATTTTTAAATATTTTTTAAGAGTTCCTTCTTACATAAAAAGAATATAAAATAATTATATTATACCTTCCTATAAATGTATAGATGTATAATTTGGTTCCATAGGAAAAACCATGAAATTTTTTTACATGTAATCATCTTCTTTAGATGTAAAATAACCTCTTGTAATTTATAATGATTTTAAAATAAATACACTATTTTTCAAAGTACAAAAAACAATAGAAGAAGAAATAAATATACTTTTAAAGAATAGATTATATATATTGGGTTTGTTAAATATAATTAGTATACTTTTAATGTAAATATGTAATGGTTACAATTAAATAGTGAGTAATGTTTTTGAAACTTCTACGTACCAATTAACTTTAACGAAGAATAATGATTATTATAACTTGAAAAAATATAATTAACGTTCTTGTTCTTTTAGAAAGTCAATCAACTAATTGATTATAATTTCAAAACATTATGAGCATGTAAGCCAAAATGAACTCAAACAATGGTGACCGAAAATGTCCTCATATGTATTCTATATTTAAGCTATTAATCCAGATATAATATATATTTGACTAAATTTTCATACATTAACTTCTTATTTTTGAATTTTAGAGATAAATCTAGTACTAATTTATAATCCCCCAGTATAAAACAACTTATACTTAGTTAATACTTTATGTTATTCATTTGTGTTGTTAAATTTGACTTTATTCATTTCGATCTTTTCCGCACTCCTCTAACCAAGTATGAAATGTAATTATGTTTAATGAATTGAATTTTGTAGAAAAATAATAAACAATACAACTTGACCTTATGATGAAAACGTAAGTTAGCTTCTGAAGGAGGAATCATGTCACTTGGAATTTAGGAAAGTGAATCCTCTCTTTCAGATCCTGGCCTTGGTAGAACTTGTCTTTGATTGGGATTTAGATATAGGCATATTCAAAAAATCACGTAGTAATCTTTTTTTTAACATTCCCAAGAAGTAAACCATTGACAGTAGTTCCACGGGCATCGAAAAGGAAGAGTAAACCTCACTGATTTTTAACGCCTGAACCATGATATGAAATAAGTACCCTTCCTTTATAATATCAATAACAATTATTGTATCTCAATTATTTCAAATAATATAAATGTTTCTTCTTTGTGTATATAAACTTTTTTAGAATTACCGCATCATCTCTCCCTCCATGTTATTTATATTTATCTTTTAAACTTTTTATGCAGGCATATTTATCGATAGCTTTAAGAACTTACATAATAAACAACAAATAAAAAATTACTTTATTAAATTTTATTTCTTTTAAGTAATTAATTATAAATTTTAAAATTTGATTAGTATCAGATTTTTAACATAATTAAGTTACTAATTTGAGCCAAGAGAAAAGATTTATAAATTTGATTTGTATTTATAACAGACTTTCAACCATAATTAAGATAAATTCGTGAGGAAGTGACATCTCATTAGGATCTACTCTAGTATTTTATAATACTAATTTGAACTAAAAGAAATTATAGACTTACAAGGATAAGAAGTTCCTATAAGAAGCATCATGAAGATTCACAAGAAAGAAAGAAAGAAATAATACAATACACATATCAATGCGACTTTAATCATTAAAACTAAAAATAGAAGAAAAAATAAAATCAATACATAATCATCTAAAATCTTGTCATATCCACTTCACAAACCTATCAATATTCAAGAGCTTCTTTTTTTTTTTCAAGTCAAACAAAAGCAAAGAGGCATCACTCTTGTTGATACTCACTTCACAAATCTATCACTATTCAAAAGCTTTCTTCATATAAAAATTAAATTTAAGAGGCATCATAGATATACATAAGAAAAAAAAGAGAGAAAGAAGAAATAGTACAGTAAACATATCATTAAAAAATAGAAGGAAAGGGAAATTAATGCATAATTATCTAAGCTCTTGTCAATATCACTACAAGTCTATCACTATTCAAAAGCTTTCTTCTTTTTTTTCAAGCCAAATAAAAGCATAAATATAATACTATCGTGAAAATAAAGGATAACTTTGGGTAGAATGAAACAAAAAATATGAATTTATATAGAAAAATAATGAAGGAATATCATAAGGTATCCTAACTTTTATATTTAATATTTAAGGGTTACGAATATGAAAAGTTGAAAATTATGAGAGTTATAACTATATGCATATTATATCTAATAAAGAAGATATATTATAGTGGAGAAGGTTATGAATATGAAAAGTTGAAAATTATGAGAGTTACCCTCTCGCCCAAATAAATGAAATGGGATGAATCAAATCAATAAGCTTTTTGATTGATTCAGGGCGCAGCGAAGCCAAATTCAATCAAGGAAAGGGGGCTTACTTTTCCTAAGGCTGATTCACCCTATTCAAATTTAGCTATGCTAATGGAAGAGGAAAAGGATGAAATATGCACATTATATCTAATAAAGAAGATATATTATAGTGGGGGGGTGAAAAGTTGAGTAATTGAGTATAAAGTCTTTATGAGATATTAAAAATAAAATAAATAATTAAAAAAAGAAAAATGCTCAAAAAAAGGGAAAAAAAATTAATGGAGGCCATAGAGAGGTGCCACATCACCTTCTCTATGTTCCTCCTTTATATATATAATAATATATATAGATGTTATTTAAAAGATACGTCTCTAATTTAAATTTTTTTTTCAATATACTTGTGAAATTAATAGTGAGCAATTGATTTTAGTTTCAGAGATGAAATAACATATCAACTTTTAATAACAAGTATTTCAATTAATTTAAGAGTAGATTGTATTAAACAAGTTAGACTTTTCAAAGTAAATAGTATGTCATATGTAATTTAAAGCGTAAAGAATTTAATGGTGGTTTTTTTTTTCATAATTGTCGAGGCGGAATAAAATATTTCTCGGTCCATTCCATTTATAAAATTTGTCTCTTAAAAAATTATATACCTTGCAAATTTATTCACATTGCATAAGAATAATTGCATTTAAAAAAAAAAAAAAATGATACACAAACGTCATTGAATTATTACCCGTACTGTAATATAATGTATGTACCTTTCGGATATTTTATAAATTATATTTTAAAATAAATATGGAATATAATAATATATTTAAAATAGTTTGTTTTTGCCCGCCTAGATAGACCGCAAAAATGTCCCTTTAATGTTTTTTACTACTATCTTTGATTCTTATTATTTGATGTTTTTTACCTTTTCATTTTGAAAAAGAAAAATCATGTTGTACATAATTAAGAAGATTTTATTTGTTTTGGTAAACTTATTCATATTTAGAAATATAGTACAAATTTATTGAGGGTAATTTAATTTTTTAAAATATAAGGAGTGTATCAAAAAATAAAAATACACCCTTCATTCAGTGTTTTACTTATATTTCAAAAATAAATTTTCACTCTCACTCTATCACTTTTTAACATATTAAGAAAAAATCATTACTATTTTTTCTAGTTTATTGTCTACATCAATTACTTGTTTCCATATCATTTTTTAAGATCTAAAATTATACATCAATATTATA